TTTTTTTTTTTTTTTTCATGTAACTTAGTGGCGTTACATCTTCTTCGGAAAATTTTTTTACCGAATTGTTAGAATTTATTAGTGTAATTGTCTGGGAATTAAGAATTGAGGAGATTATGCAATGATTGTATATAGGTGTTACAGTAAATCAAAGAAAAAAGGTTTCTTTTCATAGAAATAAATATTTATCGGTTTATTCGGTTAATTTCCGGCCAATTTTCGGCGCGTACTAAAAAAATTTTGGTTAAACACGAAATAATAAAATTTGAATTCAGAATTTCTTACAAAATTCTTTTTTTTTCGATTCCTTTTCTTTCCATGAATTCATGAATTAAATTTAAATATTATGTCACAAGAAATAAATAATCGCGATAATATGACAGAAGGTGTTTCGAGTACGTCCGCTATAATTGAAGTTCCGGAAACTAAAACGACAACTATTTCTACAAGCAAGACCGAAAATCCTTTAATCAATAATGATGATAATAATAATGTAAAAGATGAAAAATCAAAGGTGAATTCATCTTTGGATGATATTATTAATAATAGAGACGTTGAGGTGGCAAATATTAGAAATGAAAAATCATATCAAGGAGAATTAAATACGAATTCGCATTCAGGAGATCATTCAAGAGTTCCTTTGACGAAAGCTAGATTAGCCTTGGTGTTTACTGGGTAAATAATTTTTTTAAATTAAAATCGTTATGTTATTATTAAAACTAATTGTATTAAACTTTATAGGCTTATGTTTGGCATTTTCTTAGCCGCTTTGGATCAAACTATAGTTGCCACTACATTACATGCAATTGCTGTTGAATTCTCGTCGCTTGATCAAATAGCATGGATCGGAACTGCATACTTACTTACTGCGGTAAGATAAAGAAATTCACGTGATTTACATTTTTTTGAAAATTTTAATAATTTTTTATTATAAAGACTGCATTTCAACCTACATATGGAAAGCTTGCGGATATTTTTGGTAGAAAAATAACATTTTTGATAGCTATTTTCTTATTTGAAATTGGATCCCTTGTTTGTGGACTATCACCAAACATGGTAATTAGATTAATTTTACAAAAAATTAACTTGTATTTGTTAAAAAAAAAAAACTTAAATTCAACACAGGTTTGTCTAATTATCGCACGTGCAATTGCTGGGCTCGGTGGTGGAGGCATCATTGGGTAATATAAATATATATTACTGTAAATTTATTTTCATTCATGTCTTTTCATATTTTATTATCTTTGATTGTTAGATTGGTTTATATTATTATCTCGGATATTGTTTCATTACAAGATCGTGGAAAATATCAAGGAATGATTGGAGGCGTTTTTGGTATTTCTTCGGTCGTCGGACCATTGCTTGGAGGTGCATTTACTGAGTGAGGCAATTTTTTAATTTCTAAAGAATTTTTTTGTTAGTATCTGAACATAAGCTTATACTTTTTTTTTACATTTTAGCTCTGTAACATGGAGGTAGTTATTGCAGAAAACAAAAAAGATCTACTTTCTAAAAATCTGATAACTTTTTTCTTTTGATAGATGGGCATTTTATATAAATCTTCCATTCGGTGTTATAACCGTTGTTTGTGTAATTTTATTCCTTCATTTACCACATATATCAGGATCATTTCTAGAAAAATTTAAAAGAATAGATTTTCTGGGAACATTTGTTCTAGTGATTGCGACAATAGCATTATTATTGCCGCTGAACTGGGGAGGAAATAAATATAAATGGGATTCACCTATTATCATTGTTTTATTATGTATTGGAGGTTTGGGATTTATTGTATTTGCGCTTGTAGAAAAATATGTTGCGGTTGAACCAATTGCTCCCGGTAAGTGAACGGATTATTATTATTATCCATCACATATTAAGATTATTTTGATGGTACAATTTTTTTAATTTTTTTTTTAAAAAAAAAAATTTAGGACGATTATTTAAGAATCGGATGGTAATAGCATGTTTTGCAGTGAATTTTTTCCAAGGAATGTCTTTCTTTGCAATGGTATATTTTATTCCTCTATTTTTTCAAATTGTAAAAGGTGCCACAGGTATGCATAATATTATTTTCATGATTTTCTTTTTCTTATATTACCTCTCTTATTTATAAATTCTATTTATCATGTATATATATAGCCACAAAAGCTGGATTAGATTTATTGCCACTTATTTTGGCAGTAGTTTTCACAGTTATATTTACAGGGCAATTAATATCACGTACACCTATAATTACGTACAAAATGTATTGTACTCTAGGTGGTATTTTTATTATAATCGGATCTGGATTGATGAGTACTTTTTCTGAAACTAGCAAAAAAGGAGAATTGATTGGATATCTATTGATTGCAGGTATTGGTATAGGTAAGTTTCTCGAAAGTTTAGCTGAAACACAGGGAATTAAAAATTTTTATTAACTTCAATAACATTAATGTAGGATGTATAATGCAGATTACTATATTAGCTTCGCAGCACGTTGCGGCTCGTGAAGATCTCGCTAGTGTTACCTCTTTAATGACTTTTTTTAGAACGAGTAAGTTCATGTAAAATAGCAAAGTATACGAAGGAATTACTAATTATTTTTTGCTTCTTTTTTTATTTTATAGTTGGAGCGGTATTTGGCGTAGCAATTCTTGGCACAGTATTCAATAATGAATTAAAAAACCATTTATCAGGTGGTGCTAGTAGTTTTAGTCAAAGTGGATTTGGAGGAGGAGAAAGAGGAGGATTAGGGAATGTACCTGATTCCATTAAGCCACTTATTTTGAATGCTTTTATATCATCATTTAGTCTTTCATTTAAAGTAGTAACTGTGATGGGTGCATTAACCCTTATTTCTGCATTATTTATGGAGAATACCAAACCAGCCGGAAAAAGAACAAGCGAGTAAATTGTAGAAAAAGAATCAAAATAATGAACTTGTATAGTTGTAATTTTATTGTAAATTTTATGTATATTTTTTTTGTATGATAATTATGAAACTTATAGTTATTACAATTACTAAAACTTTTTGATTTTTTTGATAATTTGGCCTGTCTTATTATTGAATATAACATTTTTTTGATAGCGGTAATAGTATGGAGTGGCCGTCGTTCTCGCCGCAGAATATAATATTTCACATTACGTGATTTTCCATCAATTTATTCATATTACATAATAAAAAATTTAGTTTCGCTTAATTTTTATATATTTCTATTACACAACAAGTGCAACGAGTGAATAAATAAAAAAATGAAATATTAAGCTATACTCAAAATATATTTTTTGATTAAATTTCTTTAGCAACAATTTTTGCTACACAATAAAATGAATATGGTGGATAATAAGTAATATTTTTTTTTTAGCAATAAAATTTTGTTTTATTTGATTCTTCTCGTAAAATATCTTCTATACTCGAACCTACTTGTATACCCGTTGTTTTACCATTTTTTCTACGATCTATAAACTATAAATATGGACTCTTCCCTTCTCGAGGTCGTTGAGGTCGTGCTTCTACACTTCCTACATTGACAACTCAAGAGGAAGAGGAACTTCAAATACTTACAATCGGAAGAGGAAATTCAAATACTTACAACACCAGGGCGACCTTTAAACGCGTATTTAATAACAACTCAAGAGGAAGAGGAACTTCAAATACTTGCAACGGAAGAGGAAATTCAAATACTTACAACACCAGGGCGACCTTTAAACGCGTATGTTACTTTAATAACAACTCAAGAGGAAGAGGAACTTCAAATACTTACAACGGAAGAGGAAATTCAAATACTTACAACACCAGGGCGCGTATGTTACTTTAATATTTTGACCGAATTACTTTCAGATTTAATAAATTTTATTGATGATTTCAAAAGAACCAGTAATTAAAAATAAAACTTTATTGTGATTCTGTTTTCGATTTCCGCGCTTTTCATAGGGTGTTCCAAATGATCAGGTGATGATCACCAGATGATGTGACGTAACACTAGTACAGTAGCTCTATTAGATGAAGTGTTATCAGAATTATGTGAATAAACTTTGAGACTCATATTTATTATGATTACTTGCAGGAAAATTAACTTTATGAACTTTACGATTCATTAAAGATGATTGTCACCGGGTAATAATAATTTTTCAACTAAGTCACCTTACTGTATTTCCGACTATAACACCTAAACTATTAAGTTATTATCTTATTTTTTCCGTTAAACTTGTTTAAAAGAAACCGATATATCACAAACATTGACGAAGAATTGTGAAGAATTGTTAAATAAGGTATGAAATGAAAATTTTTTTTTTTGTTGTGATTGTGCATTTACAAGAGAGCATGAATTCAATTTATCGCTAGTAATTTATTAGAATCAGCAAGATAAATTTTATTGCTGCGGCTATTTTATCCACAATATTGATGATTGAGACAAATGAAACCGGATAATCATATTAGTAATGAAGTTTAGACAAACGGAAAAACTGGTGGCATTAGATAGACACTTTGCTGAGTCATGTATTAAATTTTATTTCTATTTCAATAATGGGTAAACTAGTTAAACAGAACAAATATTCGACATGTATTTTCCAGAATACGTTCTGCAATTTTAATCAAAATAAATATTTGTAGCATATCAAAAATTTCTGTATTGCGGCATTATTACGGCGTGATGTATATTAGAATGGTAAAAATGATTTTTTTTTTTTTGAGTTTATAGCACACTGGACAGTTTATATAAATTGGCTTTACTTTCTACTTCATAAAAATTTAATTTTTCCAATTGATATTACTTTACTAAATAAGATAGAAGTTAATCATACAATAATAAAAAATCTATCATAATCACTCTTGCGTACTGCTACACTATTAAGTATCCGTGCATTATCGATTGGCTCATATGGATTTGAGCATTAGGAAACAAAGAATGCTTGTGCATACGTCATGTACGGTGTAAAGTTCATTCAATGGAAGAAGGGTCACAGCGTCACAGGGCGAATTCTCATCTCCGTGTTTATTTTTGAGAGAGATTATCTGTCGCAAATGCGTTCATTAAGCTGCATATGTATGTTGGTTAATCCAATTTTGGTAAAATAATGAGGACAAAATTGTCTCTTTTACTAAATTGTTCATCATACTTTCCAATATCTTCATCAGAGGCTTGCGGGAGAACAGATTAAATGGCTTTGGATAAAATTACGCATTATACTTGGTTACTTGTTCCCTATAAAAAATTTTTATCCGAATATTTCCATTATTTCTCCGTGTCTTCCGTAAAAATTCCGTTAAAATGATACATTCACGGATATCCGTGTTAGCGAGATGAAAATTTCCATGATTTAAGGCTATATATTCCATTAAAATGATACATTCACGGAAAAAACATGGAAAGATAAAACACGGATCAGATTTTTTACAGGGGTTTCAAAGGTATCATTCGTGAGCATTTGTTATTTCCTTTATTGATTCTTACTGATTAGATTATCAGTTAAATCTAAATCAGGGAACGAGAACTGGTAGAGCATCCGAAGCTTTATAATCATAAAATAATATAATCAATAACAATGTACCAAAAAATTCACCAAAAACATATATATCATTAAAAAAAGTGGGGTCACTGCATCATTAAATTAATCATAAATATTAAATATGTTAAATTATATGTTAATAGTTAAACATAATTTTTTTTACATTATTACATTCAGTATCAGGATTAAACTCGGACGAGTCGAGTCGGGTTGAAAAATTTTAAATTTCAACTCGACTCAATTTTTCCGAGTTGAGTACGAGTTACCCTTGACTCGAATCGACTCGAGCACTAAGAAAGTCTATTTTAAAAAGAAATTATTATAAAATGGTTCATATTTGTCATGTCTCCAGTGAAATTTAGGGTAGGATAACAATAAAACAGCAACGACGAATGGTAGAGCTTGAAGAATGTGAATTAGTGGAAATGGAACAATTTAGAGAAGCGATAGAGGCCAAAAAAGTTAGCAAAATGAGGAAATAGACCAGCCAGCTGAATAAAGAATACATTGGAAGGATCACGAAATAAGTAAACCAGGCAAACCATTCAATAGGCAATAAAAGTGACATGAATGAACCATATTTTGGATAAATTCTTGTTAAAATCATTGTTTTGGAAACAAATTAGTAATTTTAAGAAGTAAAAATTTGAAGAGAAATCTTTATAACGAATTAATATGATGGGTTTTAACTTGATTGGTTAATTTTACTACTAATCAATGAATTTATCAATTATGAAAATGCTGAAAGTTGGAAATTTTTAAAAGATATATATTAAGAAAACTGTAACTTAACGTCCTAAAGTCTCTTCGACTATAAGAAGCTCGTAGAATTGAAGCTATTGTCCACAAAATAATAATCATTAAAAATACTATTTTGGCGTTTGCATTGTTAGCGAAAAACTGGACTGCCCAGACATTAACCACAGTTCCTTGATAAATTCAAATAAATACGTATATAGTGTATCAAGAATGATTTTTTATGGTCCAATTGATCCATGCTTACTATTATTTTATCTAATTGTAAATCAAAAAGCTACCACGCTCTACTTTGGTATAATAACAGTATTAATTTTTCACCTCTGTGAATTCTTTTCCCTTAACGTTGTTAAGTAATGTACTCAATAATATTGCACTACTTTTACTTCAGTAATTATTTTTTAATTTATTTAATAAATCGTATTTCCTATGGATGTACGTTTCACTACGTTACATTATTTAAGTGTCCTCCAACAGGTACCAAGGAATAATTAATTATTTTCATTAGATTAGTCTGCTTAATTTTTTTATCAGCAAATAATATATTAATAGTATAACTTTTGATTTTTTTTTAAAAAACGGTTAATACTATACTTTATTAAAAAAAAAGAACAATTACATATTGATAAGAATAAATGGTATAATAATGGTTTGCAGGTTTGAGGAATATAACTACAGAAAATACAAGGTAAATTCAACATCTCCTTCAGTTTGAGACCTTGCTACAGGGAATTTTTCTAAACTAAGGTATACAAAAGTAAAACTGTTAGTAAGAATATAGACCGTGACAACCCCGCCACGGGTTATATCTGCAAATTTTCATGGATTATCAACACTCGTTCATTGCATTATAGATAAAAATATTTTCCGATTACTTTTTGCCAGCACTGTATATTGTGTCTAAAATAAAATTTTCCCATTTCAATTTATTGGTAGCATTAAATCCTTGGAATAAAGACAATAGAGAAGCATTTCGCTTACTTAGCTTGGAATTAATAATGGCTCGTCACCTTCAAATTTATCATTATACTGTAATTGTTCCCCCAGGTATTATCAATGTTAAAAGTGTTATTATATACTACTGTATATACAGTATAAAGTTTTTATTTAAAATACCTGTCCAATTTTACAAATCTGTCCATTTTTTATTATCATCTGAAACCTAGAAAATGTAGTAAAGAACATTTTGTATATAATCCATGAGTAAAATAGAAAATTTCACAAATCAAAAAATTAAAACTTTGATTATAATAATAATCCAATCGAAACTAATCCGTGAATAACCAATTATAGAAAATTTTGTTTCATTTCTTTAAACTGATTAAAAAAAGGTAGAAATAAGTGGATTACTACAATCGTAGAGGAGGAAGCAGATGCAACATCAAAAATCATCACGTGCACGCTTACTGCACGATGTGCAATAAAAATAATTCTATGTAGCCACCATCCATGTCTGTAGTGCATTTACCTTTTGTACTGGCCGGAATTATGTGCAAAATTGGTGCTTAATTTCGGAAGTATACAATAACATTTTTTTATGATTATAAAAAAAAGCAAAATTTGACGAACGAGATACGGATTTCCCCATAATCTGATCAAAATAAATTCTTTTAAAAAGTTTATTAAAAAATTGAATATTCAATAGTAAACAATCGTTTACAGATAATAAAGATAAATAGTATCATTAGTACTAAGTACGAACGCGTTCTCTTATTGAATTATCTATTTTTAGATTTTTATCATTTACAGTTTTTATTAAAAAAAATATAAATATAAATAATGTGTGTATTTACATATAGAAATAAAATTTTTTTTTTTATCTAAACTTAAAAATGATCTAAATTTATATCAAATTCGAGTATAAAAAAAAAAGCAGTGTATAATAAATTAAATCAAAAAATATATTATTATTTAGTTAGCAATCGTGGACGTGACAAATATTAATAAATCTTGTGGTCTCATAGATCCGTTCATTTCAGAATAATAAATTAGCTGTCCTCATATTCCTCAAAATTTACTTGCCCACTTTTTTTTGCATATTCCCATAACTCAGTACACATAACTTTTTTAAATCTCTTATTAGCTTCTTGAAGATTTGCAATATCTTTGATTTTATCTCTCTCAATATTCTCCGCCATTAGTCTTGCAAACATACAAACAAACACACCACAAGAACTTCCATCCATTTGCGGAGGCTGCTCATTTTGAAACATTATATCTAACTCAAAATTAATTTGATTTTTCGATTCTGCTTTTCCAATTATTGTAGAACTACGGGTACTTTGATTAATTTCATTCGTATCAGGATCTCCACCCTTTATTTTATAATTTTTACACTCATCTTCCTCATATACATTATATTTACTGTGATATTCATCATTCAACCACCTAACGAGGTTTCTCCCGATAGTGATAGAGTTCTCAATTGATAATATCCCTAATGAATCCAAGATAGCAATTCTTTGATCTTTCATAAATATTGCAGCCAAGATCCAATGTGATTCATCTAAGATAATTGGAACAAAAATAATTTCCTTCTGAAAAATTGCTGTTTTTTTTGTCCAACGTATGACAGAAGAATATTCGTATCTTCCAGTTGTTGTTAACTTTGTATAAAAAAAAGATGGAAGAGAAAATACATGAGAAAATTTCATGCTCAAGTAAGAAAGGTAGGCATTTATGTGATCAGAAGAAAGCCAAATATTTCTATCACATAACTCATATAATTTTTTCGCTGTAATAGATTCAGGACTAACATAAATAATATTTTTATTATTAGCACTATACCATTCTCTTATTTCTATTGTACTTTCTTTGTTGTATTTAAAAATTTCAGAAAATTGAGGATATACTTCTTCTAGTCTTAATTTGCTTTTACGCTTTGAAAGTATATTTATCTTTGGGCTTGTACTAATTTTAAAGTAAATTGTAAATAAATATTTTTTTAAAAAAACGTAACAAAAGTTCTTGAATATTATACCTTCCCCGAATATTTGATAATTTAGATCTTGTTCTACTTGATACTTTTTCCTCAGTAGTCAGATCGTCAGCCATTATAACACTGTCAGACATTTTTCTCTGTTCTTAATATTAGAAAGGGATTTTTTTTCAGTTAAAAAATTTTGGGGTGATCAGAAATTATAAGTAAACTGATCATTTGCCGATCATTTTACAATAGGATAACAAAATGAAACTTACAGTAAAGTAGTAAAGTATGTGTTATATTGAGAAATACCTGAAAATATCAAAAAAATTGCTTATAATTTGAATGAAAATAAATATAAATACTTTTTTTTTTATTAAAAAATATTGTATTATTTAATTATTTAATATATAATATATATATAAAATTCCATTAATAATATCAGGATTCCGCTTACTTATAAGATAAGTTACTGGAAACTTAAAGTAAAATTTATAATTAAGAATTTTTAAAGATTTTACTATATATATAAACAAATTATATCTAAAAAGAAAATATTACACTAAGTTATTGTGATTTTTTTCTTTTTAGATCAATTAACTAATAGGATTACTGGTAAAATTACTAGTAAATTTAAAATTTTTTCTAGAGATTATTTCTATTAAAAGTAAGTAGAATTCTATAATTTAATAGTTGCAGAAAAATTTATTTAATAAAATAAATTTAATGGTATAAATTTTATAAATTTTAAATAAAAAGAATTATTCTAAATTTTATATTATACCTATTGTAATTATATAAAATATATAAATACAGTTAAAACTTAATATAATAAACTTTCTTTCAGATGATTTTGGATTATTATACCAAATATTTGGTAAAATAAATATTTTTAATATACTGAACTTAATAATACAATTTTTAAAATATATTTATATCAAAAAAAAAATTATTAATTAAAAAAGTATATTTATATAAAGAAGTTTATAAAACTTCTTTACTAATAATTAAAATTTATAAAAATTAATAGAATTTATCATTGTACATTTAATGCTAATTAAACTAATTTAATACTAACTAAAATTAGAATAAAATTAAATAATTATAAATAAATATGATTTTGATATATTAATATTATGAAATTTATAATAAAATCAGTATATTATAATAAAATTAAGAAAATTTCTAAGTTTACATGGGGTGTTTGTACACGGGTCATATAAATATAATTTTTAATAGACTAATTTTTTGTTTTTTAATTTGAAATTGAATGCTACTGACATTATACTCTTTTACTTTTTATTCTTATTATATTACAGATAAATATATATATTTTCACCTGCTCTGCAAGTTTACTTAAGGCATTAAAGGAGGTTTTGAATGCCGTTTTTAATCTACTAATATGACCTGTGTTTAAACACCCTGTGTACAAATAGAAATTGCCTAAAATTAATTATAAATAAATTTTGTTTAAAAAAAGTTTATTATTAGTTTACAGTTGGCTCGCGTTATAACAAATTTCAATATAACGAATTATTTAGTACAACAAATTTTCACTGTGGTACAGATTTTGACATATAAAAAAAATCTTATATACTGAATTTTAATAATTAAATGCTGTATACCATTTAATGAAGTAAAGTGTATAAATAGTATATACAAAATGACTCACATTGTAATGAATTTTATATTATAATGACACACTATTTTATAAAAATTTTGAATTTTAAATGGTTACTACTTGTGGCAATAGAATATATGTAAAATTTATAAAAGAAAATATATAGAAAAGGAATTATTTTAAATTATATTTCAGCAGAACCTCGCCTACTATTAAGATAGGTCACCCTGTGACCTAAGGTAAGGTTTACATATAAAACTCTTTGAAGATTCTACTATAAAAGGAAATTTTATGTTACATTGTTAGGATTTTTTTCCTTTTTAGTTAATTAACCAATAGAATTTAAGCAAATCCTAAGGTAAGGTTTCATATAAAAGTAAAATTTCTACTAGTAACATATCTTAATACATCAGGAAATTTGTTTAGGCGTAATTTAGTGTAATATTTCGAAGGTGGTGTAAAATTTCGAAATATTACACTAAAAACGTAATATTACAAAAGTTTACGCTCTTAAATTTGAATAATTATAGTAATTTAAGAATATCTCGCTATCTACTGATCCAATCAAGACGATCTATAGCTCATTGGAATCAGCTCATCAAGACGGATCGAATGGTAGTAAAATCGTATCTTTACGTTCGATAGATGATTTTCTATTAATTTAAAACTTTACTGCATACTATAGAGCGTTCTATCAACTGTAGAAATGCGATTTTACTACCATTCGATCCGTCTTGATGAGCTGATTCCAATGAGCTATAGATCGTCTTGATAGGATCAGTAGATAGCGAGATATTCTTAAATTACTATAATTATTCAAATTTAAGAGCGTAAACTTTTGTAATATTACGTTTTTAGTGTAATATTTCGAAATTTTACACCACCTTCGAAATATTACACTAAATTATGCCTAAACAAATTTCCTGATGTAGAAGTCTGGTAACTAAAAAAATGAAAAAAAGAAACGTTAGTACGTTCCTTTAATACAATTAGACACCAATACCCTCTCCCATATACCTAAATCTGGTTCTTCCAAGTTCATAGGAGTCCGGTAACTAAAAAAATGAAAAAAAGAAATGTTAGTACGTTTCTTTAACACAATTAGACACCAATACCCTCTCCCAATATACTTTACCGGGTTCTTTCAAGTTCCTAGAAGTCTGGTAACTAAAAAAATGAAAAAAAGAAACGTTAGTACGTTCCTTTAATACAATTAGACACCAATACCCTCTCCCATATACCTAAATCTGGTTCTTCCAAGTTCATAGGAGTCCGGTAACTAAAAAAATGAAAAAAAGAAATGTTAGTACGTTTCTTTAACACAATTAGACACCAATACCCTCTCCCATATACCTAAATCTGGTTCTTCCAAGTGTTCCTAGGAGTCCGGTAACTAAAAAAATGAAAAAAAGAAACGTTAATACGTTTCTTTAATATAATTAAACGTCTACCCTCCCCAATATACTTTACCGGATTCTTCAAAATTCCTAGGAGTCCGGAGAAATAAAAAAAAATTTTTTTTTTAAAAAAAAATGTGTATTTTAGATTATCAACAATTAGTTAAAAAACTGATCAGAGCTTAACTGAATAAGGAAATTGCGAAACTATATCATAATATCATATGATATACTGTGCAGTTTCAGCTTACCGAAGCAAAAATATCATTCATGATATGAATAATCATATCTATTAAGAATGATGCCTTACCGAAACCTAGTTTTAGCAGTTTTGGCAAGCATCCGGCGTCCTAAAATAATTTTTTTAAAAAAAATTAATTATCTGATCTCCATAAATATATTTATATTAAATATAAAATATCTAAAATTATTAGAGCTAAAAAAATATAAATAGAAGGTTATTATATTCCTATACGCCTTCTATTTAAAAATCTTTTTTCCTAAGCTTACCAGTCTGAAATGGCAATCCGGAAGCTAAATATACCTTTTATTTTGTATTTTGTACATGTTTGTTAAACTCTTGTAAAAGAAAAAAAGAAAAAGACTAGTAGACTTAAAAAAACAATGATTGTTTATTTTATAGTTTAAATAGTTTAATTTATTAAATCCACAGCATCGTCATTAATAATAAAAATGATCTATATATGAAAATACCAATATCTCTTATATTTTACTGATATTTCTAATATAAATATCAATGACCTATCAGGTTACTGATAGGTTTACCGATACCTTTATAACATTTCTTTAGAAATGATGGTTGATATCAATAAAAAATCATTGTCATATCGGGTTAATGATATGTATATGATTTTTAATATAAGCTATCATGGCATATCAGGTTTATAATATCTGACCAATATGCCATAATAGCTTATGACCCGATATGCCATCATTCGACCAATGTATACCAATAAGGAGTACGGCCAGGGCCACGTCGTCCAACCAAATTATCATAGTAAGCCTTCCAAGAAATTAAATGAGTTCCTTGAGGAGTAATAAGCTGAGATAAATAAAACAGTTGTCGTTTACGCAGGATGGGAAAATAGGCTTTGAAGGCTTTAGGCGTCATGCATTCAAATAGGGGAACGCGTCCGTTTAACAGAGATAAATTCGGAAGTTTCGAAAGTTGAGTATGAAGCAAACGAAAAGGAGTAGAAGTTAAGAGAACAATAGTGCATGCGATATAATCTTTTTTAAAAGAAAAAAGAGAAAACCATATAGACCAGTCCTTAATTAAAAGGGGAGAAATAGGAATCAAAAAGTTATATTGAATTAAACACAATCTATAAATAAAAAGAGATTGGATAAAAGAAGAAGAAGAATTAGCCATTAAAAATAAATTAGTAATATGACATTGTCATTGATGAGCAAACAAATTAATCAAGCCCAAGGCTTGAGATAAAAATAGAATAGGATTGGGTAAAGAACGAGAAAAATTTGCTTTGTGCTTTACAACAGATCGTATACTTCTCGTTATTAGGTGGCAGTCAGATTCGGACAAGTGTGTAACTTGCATCCGGTATTCAAGTTTTGGTATAAGAATAGCATTATGTAAATACACGACTTGTTTGGGAGAGAGCTTTGCTGGTCGGATAGTCGCAGCAAAGGAGCAGCATTTGCGTTTGAGTTGCTTTTTGACAAAATCACGGGAGCTCTTAATGTTAAACCAGACACCTAAAAAACGAAAAGAAGTTGTCATGAAAATTGGGGTAATAGTAATGGAGGGAATACTATTTAAAGAGGATAAATCCAAAGTAAAAGTAATAGGGGATAAAGTGGAATTCGAAGTCAAAGGTAACGAATTGGTAATTAACACATACAGAGGGCGATCAAAATTATCCGGCCACTTTGTTTTGGCAAATTTATGCCGATCATGACGTAATAACATGATGTAATCAATACATTATTTTGTATTTATAATCATGATAAACATACCCCTTAACTTCATATTTTCTAGAACATTCTAAAAATATGAAGCCACTTACCCCAAAAACGCGTGGCGCAATTGTTTATGGACATAATTGTGGACAATCAAGTCGTACAATTGCTAAACAGTTGGGATGTGGGAAAACAACTGTTAATGATATACTTAAGCGCTTTCATGA